ACAGACAAGCATGTAAAATTTGCAAATCCTGAGGGTGTTACAGTGAAAGAGAAGCTCGTGTGCAGGGCTGTCATTATCACAGGAGGAAAGCAAGATGGAAAGATAGGGAGTGAGGGGTGAAATTGTCATCGCGTAATCATCGAGAATTCGTCTTCAGCACCTCCTCAGACGGCCATTCCTTTAGGATGTCAGAGGCAGGCACTCGAACCGTTGTTCCTACCTCCCCATTGATGTGGGCATTGGAGGAGGTGATGCTCTGCAGCTCACCCTCCTTCCCTCCTTCCCTCCTTCCCTACCTCCCTCATCTCGCCATCGCCTATGACATATTTGAGGAGCACATGTCGCCTTTACACATAACCTGCCATCCCACCACAGACACTCCATCCTCATGCAGCGAGTGAAGGCAGCATCGGGCTGATTGACTGCGTTTTAGCTGGTGGTAAGTGATGGCACTACATCTCAAAATCCTGCCAATAAGTGACACAATGTGGATGCGTCATTTGTCGTGACATCTACGTTTGTGGGCCCCGTAAGTCATTTTCGGATGCCAAAGTAGGATGAATTTGCGTAAAAAATGCACATCCACAACCTGATGCTGCTGCATTCAATGCGCTAAACCGATTTCCTTTGCGGTTTCTGGTCAGAGGGATCGTCGTAGTTGAGGCACGTAAATTGTGGAAGCAGGAAGACGTACAACTTGTGTGGCAATGTACTCTTTGGAGCCTGTCAGAATGTCCATCTCAATAAAGCCCTAATACTTCAATGCTTTGTGCATGAGCATTTATTGAAGATCGGTTGGGATGTTCAAGGTTGCTAATTACTTCATTCTCAGTCGATCTCTTTCCAGTGAATTAGCTTCGGCCCCCACTTCAAATATACTGTGAACGAAAATGAAGAACTGAATTTACAAAGCCTTCATTGCCATTTGGCCATTTCGCACCACTGAAAGCCGATGTCATGGACCTGCAGTGATCCGTCTCTCGTGATGTGTCAATTCCACATTCACTTTTGCCCTCATGTTGACGTCATCACAAAAGAAGAGCGAAGTTCGATGCGTGTGTCCTTTCCATCAATCCTGTCTACGCCAATGACTAAAAGCACGAAAAGGAAGATTGC